CCTACACCCTAACCCTAAAACCCTAAGCCCTAAACCTTAAACCCTACACACTAACTTCTACTTTGGGCCTCTGGGAGGTCTCCATAGAGTGCAGCCATGGGATCTCCAGAGGACGGGGCTCCGACCTTCCCCAGGCGACACTTGGAGTTTTGTAAGGGTTTAGGAAGTTTAGGGTGTAGGGTTTTGGGGGTTTGGGGTTTAGAGTTTGGGGTTTAGGAAGTTTAGGGTTTGGAGTTTGGGGTTTAGGGTTTAAAAGGAAATTTAAGGCTCAGGGTTGGGGTTTAGGGTTTAGGGTTTAGGAAGCTTAGGGTTTAGGGTTTAAGGGTTTAAGGGTTCAGGGTTTAAGGGTTTAGGGTTTAAGTGTTTAGTTTAGGGCTTGTGCCAGAGCGAGGTTCTTTTGTTGGCAAGCATGGAAGGTAGCTCTTGGGTACTGCCCCCATACAGTAACAGTCTATAATAGGCCTACTATTGAGGGCCTTATAGATCTCTACTATGAATATTATCCAACTGTTACTGAGTGGGGGCAGTATCCAAGGTAGCTCCTAATGACAAAGGGCGGTCCTCATACCCTAAACCCTTGTAGAACACTTTCAGTAGTTATCGGAGCCTTGCAAGAAAAAACAGCTGAAGGAGCCAAACAACTCTAAACTCGAAACCCTTAAACCCAACTTCGAAGTTTTTTTGCCCCTGTGTAATATGTGTGTGTATATATATATATATAGAGAGAGAGAGAGAGGGGTATATTATAATATATAATGTATGACCTTCAAGGATGTCACCTCACTCTACCCCAAACCCAAAAACACAAAACTTTACAGGTGAAAATAAAGCAGACCGTTCCATAACTCCTTACCAAAACAACCATACAAGCCCTTAAACAACGGGTGTAGAGCACTACGGCCCTTAATGCAGTAGCCTCAACAAGCACCCATCGTCTTCCTCCTGTTATAACTTGGCACTAACCAAAAAACCCTAAACCCTAGACCCTAAACCCTGATCGTTTGGTCGTTGAAGCCAGGGTCGTTAACCCAAACTCCCTCGACCCTAAAGACGCTCCAACCCTAAAGCCCTAACCCCCCAACCCCAAAGCCCGAAATGGTCGGTCATTTCCAGTCGTATCCATACTTACTATCTTGCTATTCTTCTTCATAAACCCTAAACCCCCTGAACCCTGAAACTCTAAACCCAAAACCCCTAAACCCCTAAACCCCTAAACCCTAAACCCTAAACCCCTACACCCATAAAGCCCCACAAGCCCCAAAAGCCCTAAAAGCCCCAAAAGCCCCTAAATGCTCGGGTCGGTCCTGGACGTCCGGCTCCTCCTCGCTGTTTTCGGCCGTCCGCTGCCTTAGTTGCTGAGTTCATAAGCCACAAAAGGGTTTAGGGTTTAGGGTTTAGGGTTTAGGGTTTAGTGTACACTTTCAGATTTATAGTGGGTCATATTAATCCAAAAAGTGTAAAGTGTATCCACTCAGCTACTGAGCTGCTTCTTTGGGGCAGGCTGGGAGTCCAAGGCGTCCACGCTCCCAAGGACCATGAACCTCGGAGAGAAGAGGGTTCAGGGCTTTTCGGGCTTTATTCGGAGATACTCAGGGTCCAGGGTTTTTTAGGGTTTTTGGGACTTTAGGGTTTAGGGTTCAGGGTTTAGGGTTCAGGGTTGTTCGGGCTTTAGGGTTTAGGCTTCAGGGTTTGGATCATGAACCTCGGAGAAGGGTTCAGGGTTCAGGGTTTGAGGGCTTGAGGGCTTTAGGCGTTCAGGATTTTAGGTTAGGGTTTAAGGACCATGAACCTCAGAGAGATTCAGGGTTTAGGGTTCAGGGGTTTTAGGGCTTTAAGGGTTTTTGGGGTTTTTAGGACTTTAGGGTTTAGGGTTCAGGGTTTAGGGCTCAGGGTTCTTAGGGTTTTGGGGGCTGTAGGGTTTAGGGTTCAGTGATTCAGGGTTTTTAAGACTTTAGGGCTTAGGGTTCAGGGTTTTTAGGGTTTTTAGGGCTTTTAGGCGTTTAGGGTTCAAGGTTTTTAGAGGTTTTTAGGGGTTTTAGGGCTTTAGGCGTTTAGGGTTCAGGGTTTTTGGGGGTCTTTTAGGGTTTTTAGGGCTTTTAGTGCTTTTAGGGCTTTAAGCGTTTAGGGTTCAGGGTTCGCAGGGCTTTAGGGCTTTGGCCGTTTAGGGTTCAGGGTTTTTAGGCCTTTAGGGCTTTAGGCGTTTAGGGTTCAGGGATTTTAAGGCTTGTAGGGCTTTATGGGTTTAGGATTTTAGGTTTAGGCTGAGCTTGCAATTTAGAGGTCTGGGTTTGGTGGTGCGGGTTGGAGAATTATCATAGGCCTCCCGTACTGTTCTGCTGCGATCAGCCAATCCGTAAAATAGATGATTCTGCTTCGTTGCTTGAACTTCCGGGCTACTTGGCAGCGATATACTGGTCTGTAGTGGACCATGGGATCTCAACACAGGTGTAGAAGCAACCATCGTCATCATCATCCTCGTCGTCGTCATAATCATCATGCAGTCCGAAACATTCATCAGAACGACACTTGAAGAGGCCTTAGCGCTGCTTGCTCTTCCGTCTTCGAGTTCTGAGAACTTGTCGTAGTCTGTAGTGTTCATGTTTTGAGGTTTAGGGCGTTGCCGAATTTCAAAGGCTGACAGTTTGGGGGTTTCTAGGACTAGGGCCACTGGGGTTTAAGATTTGGGTTGCCGGCATGTGATCTGGGAAACAGCTGTGTGTCTAACATCATGCTGTTCAACACCTCAGAGCCTCTCGAAAAGAGTTGTGCCCCCGGGACCGCGTAACATCTTCGCTGCAATTTTGAACGCCTCGTTCTGTCAGTGCCTAACCCCTGAACCAGAAGCTTCTTGACAGGACTAACTCAGGAACGCCTTCAAACCACGCACGAGCAAATTTACACTGCCGCCCCTTGTCGAAAGCTACCCTTGCCTCAAGGTTTCGGAATTTAGAAGCTCGAGGGCGGCTCGAGGCGCTTCTCGAAGTCCAAACCCTAAACCTAATGTTACCTAAACCCTACACCCTAATGAGACCTTGAGGGTTTAGGGTTTAGGGTTGACCTTTTCTGCTACGGAAGCTTTTCAAAGAGGAGCACTAAGAAACATGATCCCCGCAAAAAAAAACCCAAACCCCAAACCCTCAATATAAGCTTTCTAAAACCCTGCGACACACGTAATATCGGACCCTGCAGACTTAGGGAGTCTATATTGATAGTATAGGGGCCCTTAATAATCAGAATAGGATTTTGGGGATATTATCATACTACAACTATAATAAGGAAGCCCCCAAAACCCAATCTAATTCTTAGGGCCCCTGCATTAATATTCGCATCGTGGTTCCTACCTCAACATTGATACAGGGGCCTTAATAATTAGAATGGGGTTTGGGGGTGTATTATACTATTATACTATCATGATAATAAGGAACCCCCAAAATATGATAGGTAATTATGAAGATTGTACTATCATGACAATAGGACCCCCCCCCCAAAAAAAAAAAAACAAAAATACTGTAGGTAATTATGAAGGCCCCTACATTACGCCGAAGAGCACGGCCTTCGGCCCGAAGCCAAAGGATGCTAACTTGCCTGATCGGGAGCAGGCTTTGGGTTTTAGGGTTTAGGGTTTAGGGCTTAGGGCTTAGGGCTTAGGGTTTAGGGTTTAGGGTTTAGGGTTCAGGATTTGTTGCGGGTTTAGGTTAGGTACTGGCCCCCATACAGTAACAGCCTATAGTAAGGGTACCGTTATAAGAGCCTAATATGTCTACATGATGCATATTATGGAACTGTTACTACGTGGGGGCCGTATCCAAGGCTTAGGGCTTAGGATTTAGGGCAGGGCTTGTACCCTAAACCCTAAACCCTAAACCCTAAACCCCTAAACCCTAAACCCTAAACCCTAAACCCTAAACCCTTTACAAGCTTGTTGAGGGGTTTCGTGGGGTGGTTTGATGTGGGTTAGGGAACCTGTTAGGGTTTTATTGGTTTAGGGTTTAGGGTTTAGGTTCGAACGGTTACAAATCATAAGAAGCCAGTAGTGATAAGCAGATGAAAACTACTTCGAAATGAAGCAGCCTGGCACAGTTCTGATTACCATGGTCATGATGATGGTGGTGGCGATTTTTTCCTATTAGGGTTCTAGGGTATATTATACAAGAATTCTAAGAAGGACCCCCCCCCTCAACAAAAAAAAATAGTATTGGTAAATAGTTTTCAGTCGGGCTCTCCAAGAGAGAGTGGAGCCCCCCGGCTGAGTGCTTCAGGGGTCTTCTGCGAGTGCTCAGATTGGAAGTTGGGTGTTCCACGCCATTCCATGCGAAATTTCTGGTTCGGGGTTTAGGGTTTAGGGTTTTAAGGTTTAGGGTTTAGGGCTTTAGGGTTTAGTGAGTTGTTTGGGGTTGAGGGTTGGGATTGAGGGTTTGGGGTTTACTACCCTCAACCCTAAACCCTAAACCGACTCGATGTGGAAATTGGGTAGGTGCATAGAGAGCACAGCCCAGCTGCCTTCTGGCCAGGGTACCGGCCTCAAGCATTGAGAGTTCGAGTGGGATTCGCGTAAAACCTAGAATCCCAAATAGGACGTAGGGTTCTGCAGGGTCTTTATCAGTGCATTGGTGACCGTATATAAGTATGGCTCCTGCCTCAGCAGTATTGGTGCATGTGTTCTTGCATTTTCTTTGGACAAACTAACGAAGAGATCCCGACTACACAGTTTCCCACAGCTCTTTTCCAGAGGGATTCCTTTGACCTCTCCTCAGTTTGACAACAAGGACCAATGGTACTACCAGGAGGAAGTCTGCATTTTGTAGGGTCCTTGTTTGACTTTCCAATTTGGGCTTTATGAAACAGAGTAATGTAGAGGCCTTGATCATTAGAATAGGGTTTTGGGGCCGATTATACTATAATTCTAATTACTCAAGAACCTCCAAAATCAGTATAGGTAATTATTCTGTGGGCCCCTGTAGTAGGAGGTGGTAGCTTAAGGTGAGGTCCCTGTCACGGTACAGGCGGAGGGGATCTCCGCAAGAGGCACGATTCATACATACAGGCCTGAGATATTAAACTAAGACCCCAAACCCTTAAGCCTAAACCCGGGCCCTAAACCCCAAACCGTCTGTACAGCTAACTGAGAGTAGGTTCTTTGGGCATGCTCCAAGAGAGCTATATCAGAAGACCAAATTCGGAACCCGCAACCCTAGAATATTTAAGTATTCGTAACAACAACAAGATCAAAACATACTAGTGATGATGACATGTGGTAACAAATAATTCGAAAACTACTATCAATGAGAGTAATAATGACAACAACAATAACACTAATCATACCAATGCCACTAGAAAGTAGTGATGATGTGGGGGTTTCTGAAAATAGGGGACCTTAATATAGTACCCTAAATAATAGGATCCTTCATATAAGGACCCCAAAACAAGGTACCCCTAATTATCGGAAACCCCCATGTTACTAAACCCTAAACCCTAAACCCTGAGCCCTAAACCCTAAACCCTAACAATGCCACTAGAAAGTAGTGATGATGTTCATTCAAGTCGCGAAAGAAACCTCTACCGGACTGCAGGTAGCGACGGCGCGAGCTCTTCAGCAAAGTGGGGCTTACAGGGTTTTAAGGTTTAGAGCTTTAGGGTTTAGGGTTTAGGGAGGGATGGAGACTACCTGGCTATATATATATATATATACATGGGGTATATAAGGACTCTACAATGGTTCTCTTATGGTAATGGGATTATGGGTCCCTATTAGGGGTCCCTCCCAGGTTCAAGGCTTAGGATCCTTAGCTGAGTTGTCCAGTGTCTTAGTATAACGGCCGAGTCAATTTCTACTGTACTAGAACTTTACTAGGGACTACAAGGGATGTGATATAAATAAATAAATAACTATATATATATATATATATAGATATATATGTGTATATAGATGTTTATATAGTGCCGCAAAGGTTTCGCGATACTTGCTTTGCTACTAAGCCGTTCTGGGATAGTCCCCGAATGTAGAACACAAGGCTGCATCCAACTGTATGCCTCTGAGATATAGAAGCGTGAATACTTACCAATCCTGCTCACTAAACCCTAAACCCAATGTAGTCATCCCCCGCCAAGCGCTACCTAAGTTCTGCGGCTTAGGGTTTAAAGCTTAGGGTTTAGGGTTTCATGATACTCTGAAACCCTTATCTTGACATTCCGTCCCTTACATCTGTCACACGAATAATGCCATAAGACTCTAATCTAATTAATTAGTCAGGCCCCTAAATCAGCTGAAGGAGCTCGTGCGGCTTTAACCTCTTGGAGTCCAGGAAGGTTCCCTGCCTCAGGATTAGGGGGTCTCCGGGCTTTCGGGTTTGGGGTTTTATTGTATAATGTAGGGGCCTTAACAATCAGCATAGGGTTTTGGGTTCTATTATACGAATTTTATGATGAGGAACCCCCAAAATAGCATTGATCATTATTAAAGCCCCTATTCTTATGGAGGTTTGGTGTTGCATATTCCGGGCTTTAGGGTTTGGAGCTTGGCGGCTCGTGTCTTGGGGATATGAAGCGGATTCCGGCTCGGGGTGTGCGTGATCGGGGGTTGCACATAAAGACGGATGAATAGGGTTGTAACCTACGTAAAATCTGCGTGCTACTTCCCCACAAAGGAGGCTACTAGCTCGGTACTAAGCGATCCACCATTCACAGAGAATGCACTGAAAGCACAGTAAAACGTGTTGTGCAGGCAGGTGTTGAAAACCAGGTGCTACTCGTCTCAGAACCCACAAACAAACAACACAAACCAGTGTTAAACATGATGTGTGTGTAAATATATACACAAAAGCACAAAGCATCACTACTGTTACTACTATTACTACTATTACTACTACTCTTACTACTACTACTACTACTACTACTATTACTACTACTCTTACTACTACTACTATTACTACTACTACTACTACTCCTCCTACTACTATTACTATTACTACTACTACTATTACTACTACTACTACTACTACTACTACTACTACTATACTACCACTACTACCACTACAAATCCTACTCCTGCTCCTGCTCCTGGTCCGACTCCTACTCTGGTGCTGATAACAGGGACAATGGTAACGGCAATGACAGCATTAACATGAATCACTCCCATACTGTTGGTGATATAACTCCTGCATTACCTTAAGGACCCTGAACTACGGGAACTATGGTATAGTCATTATTATGGGTAATGTAGGATTTTAATCTCAGCCGTAGTTACAGTCATAATAATACCATTGTACTTGGAGGATCATGGGATCTAGTAAGAAAGGTTATAAGTACCCTAATTGGGGTTATAAGTAATTATAAGTCTAGTTACCTTATTTATAACCCTAGTTACCAAGCCCCATGAACGTCTAAGTAAGGGCCATCAGCCCTCGAAGTCCAATTTCCCTCAACAGAAGGATTGGAATTATTCGTGCCTGATACTAGGGGTTGGGGGTTTAAGTCTTCAGCGACGTTCTAACAATGAGTTGTCGCGCATCTTTTTTGAACTTCCTCATATGCTGCGATCTGAGCTCAT